CGATTTTTATTTACGGTGCGAAGCGTAACTTTCACGACACCGAAAGAAATTTCAATAAACGTTTTCCGAATCGTTCTATCTGTAGAAAATATTCGAGGAAACTTGTATCGAAATTCACAACTACCGATAATGTACATAACAACAATCTCCCAGGTCATCCGTCCATTCCGGAAGAGCAGCAAGTGCAAATGATTGGTGAGATGGTAGTAAATCTTGAACAGTCTACTTATTCCGTCGCCAATTTTTGTCAGGTGTATCCTCTACTGTGTGGAGACTTTTGAAGAGGAATAGGTATCATCCATACAAAATAAAATGGTACACCAATTAACTGAAGATGACCCTGATTGAAGAACAGAATTTTGCGAATTCATGACGGAAACCATTGCAAGGCATCCTACCTACCTCCACAATATTTGTTTTAGTGACGAATGTATATTTTTTCAAGTGGCAATGTTCACAGACAAAATGCCGTTATTGGAGTGACACCAACCCTCACTTTTTCCGGGAAACACGTACCCAATAACCAGAAAAAATTATCGTTTTCTCAGGAACATTGGGAAACCATAATGTAGGACCTCTATTTATTGGTCAACATTCAACAGGGAAACTGAATTTGAATATGCTAGAAACTAACGTTAGCCCTCTCATCACTGAAATCGTCGAAGCGAATCCTAATGAATTCGACATGGATATTGTATTCGAACAAAATTATTCCAGACAAGTAAGAAACTATTTGGATACTACTTTTCCGGGTCGTTGGATTGGCTGTCGAGATCCTACAGAATGGCCAGGCCGCTCGCCAGATTTGACACCTTTGGACTTTTTTATATGGGGTCATTCGAAGCAAAAGGTGTACGGAACTAAACCTTCTTCAATATTGGATATACGGCAGGGAATAATAAATATTTGTAGAGATATTGACGTTACTGTGTTTGAAAATGTTTGGCGTGAAATATCAGATAGGGTGTTAATATGTCAAGAAGTTCAAGGCAACCATTTCGATCATCTTCTGAACTCACCTCAAGCTTATTACCTCATATTATGTAGTTAAATATCAATGTATTCAGGCAATTATTTAAAGTTCCACCATTTTGTTGTAGTTGAAGATATTGACATTAGATTCTAGGGCTGTGACGTATTTTTCAGGAGCTTCCAAAAGATGTGTCACAAGACCCCCCCTTTCGAAATGGCGTCCAGTCGCCATCTTGAATGTTTCATCTGTCAATTTCACTTCAAATTGTAGTATCCATGCATTATGTTCATCATCTCAAATTTCAATTTTTTGAGTTGATCCGTTCAAAAAAATAAAAGAGGGGGGGCATTATACTATTATTTTTATACACAACTATAATAGTATCGAAATTATTTTGTTAGTATTCTTCTACACTGTAACGAGTCATGAGTAATGAGTTATATACAACAAACATAGATCTGCTGAATATGTGAGAATCATTCGGACATATTTATATTGAACAATAACTTCATGATTTTCTTGTCGGTTCAGTACAATTTCATGAACAGTCGATTGAACTTTCTTCGGAATATATTGAACAACTTTTCTCTTTCGAATCGAAGATGTTACACAGGTGTCTGATGGTTTCACTTCAGATTTCTACGCGGCCTTAGCTGGGTTAGTTATTGTTTTTCCATCGGGTATCTGCCACACGTAACTACGAAGTCGTAGGTCTTACATGAGATGCAAGGGGTGAGGTGTTTTCACTTGAACCTGAAACTGAACTGATAATCAGTTAACACATCACTGGCAAACGGAACAAATGGGACTCGATCAATTGTATCAACCACTTGTGTCAACAACATATCAACCACATGAGATGATTGTAGATGATAGAACGACTCCTAATGTGTAAGATATTCATGTAAATCTTTCGACTTGCATGACTCACTTGATTCCATGTGGACATGAAACTTTCTCGAAGTAAATTTTCGAACCGTTGATATCGCTGTTTGTGACTATACAAAGTTTATGTAAATAAAAATGTAGATATGAATTGTTATGACATTGACATACAATGATATTTTAGGTTTTGTATGCACATCTGATCCCAAAAAAAGTTCGATTGATTTTTGTGCCGTTTCTACTGATATATTGTGATGAGCTTCATTTAACATCTAGTGTTTGTTTCATTCGAATCGGTTCATGAATGAAACGAACTTTATATTGCGAAAATACGATAGGAATACTATTTGATTCATCACGTCCAAATTTCTCACAAGTAAATATATAGTTTGTGAAACAATTCCTATGAATCATACATTAGCAATCTTACTGATAGAAAATCTGAGTGAACTCAAAAATACGGAGTCCACACGATGGAAGTCGCAGACAATAGCTTCACAAAATATTTCGAAATTTATTGACTTATTCCAACTGAAGAAGTTGATATAATCATAAATGTAAAATAAATTTGATCATCTTCATTTATGGAAATACTTACTTTACGCATTTGAATTTCGAGGTTGGGTTACGAATGTACAACGCTGATTATTGAGAGTCATTTTAGCGCCAAAAGAAATATAATTCGAAAAAGTCATCATAATTTTGTATTTCATCCTCAGAACTAATCACGTATGCATGCATAATGCATTTTCCTTCGGTGTCCTAGCTTGAAAGCCTCGCAACTGGCATCTTCACTCTGTCTAGCACCACCACTATCAAGGAAACCCCAAATTTTCCCACTATCGGCACTATCGGCTCTCAACGTCGGCCATATGGAGAAACGAATCAGCGGGGTGAAAGACTCATTTCATTCATTTCCCATGAATATTTAATTTACCTTCAATCAATTACTATACATAACATTATACAAACTGAAACTAATTTAACAATTCTTACTCTTTTCACCAAGAGTTGGAGACAAAATAACATAAAATGTGCTGCCAACCGACCATCGTACATCTTCGCAGTTGATAACACATACAAACTCCATGACCTGCTCTAATTGGAGAGACCACGACCCCTTCGCGACTTCTACATGTCAATTTTACGCATGTTAGCTAGCAGCTCACCATCTATGCTTTCCGTTCATTCTCCACCACGCTGTCAGCCCATTCGTTTGCTAATCGTATCCATTCATTTCTTTTTCTTTCCCATTCATACTTTTCGTCCGCTCCTTCCACTCTCGCCATCCAATCCTATCATGCATCTCCGTACATGCATCTATCAATCACGTGCTCTGCCATTTCAGGCTACCCATATTCGAAGGGGCAAGGAACCTTCAGACCCAAGACGAATCCTGCCAAGTATCCCAGAAAGATATGCCCTGTGAGCAGCTGATCAGCCTTCCCTGACAGTTCTGATTGGTCATATTCGATTCTGTTGAACCGTCGCCAAGTCGTGCCTCCATTCCCTTCCATTCCCTTCAAAATTCTATTCTGACACTTTCTTTGATCTTTTTCTCTCTTCGATCTTGTTGAACATTATTCTCTCTGATTTCTGTCCCTACCCTTATTAGCTTCTTCGTGTGTTTTTATATTACCTGTATTGCTGTCTTTATGTCCTCTACTCCATTTGATCTGTGTTAGGTTAAGTTAAGTTAGATCTGAAGTGAGTGGGACTATTCGACCTTCCAACGCAATCCGCAATGGTTCATTGTGGCTTACACCTATTCGCACTCGACCAAATAAACCCAGCTTCTTAACAAAGCCGATTAGTTTGTATGGTGAGTGGTCTTTCAGATCAGATGGTAAGAGTACGGCTCTGCCGAACTTTAAATACTTGATTCGGTACCCAGCGGGGCAGGCACGAAAAATATGCTCTGCTGTTTCATCATCTTCCAAGCAGAGGCGACACACACTGTCTTCCGACAGTTCTAATCTCTGCATATGATGATTCAAATGACAGTAAATGGAATGACCTCACCATTGAGGAAAAGTGGCGTTAGATCAAACACTTTTTTCCTCCTGGTGATGTGGATAAACACAATTTTGCTGGAGTTGACAGACATCTGCTCCCTCAGGCACCAACTGTGAACATCGTTCAACGTACTTTGAAAGATATTACCAGCTACCTTTTCCGACGTGGACCTTGCCAGAATGACGAGGTCATCTGCATAAGCTTGCAGATCAACTTTTCTTCAGTCAAGCAGACTATCCATCAGAAGCTACCACTGAAGGGGAGATAGTACCCCACCTTGAGGGCAGCCCCTGATAAACCCGAACTTGATATCCTCGCCTTGAAGTGTCGTAGTTGCAGTTCTGTTCACCATAATGGCATAGATCCAGCCAGTTATGGTCGATTCTATACCTTTTCTAGCCAGAGACATTCCTATAAATTTAGGTAGTGCATTGTCAAATGCTCCTTCTATATCAAAAAATACAGCAACCGCAATCTCCTTGCTGCCAAGGGATTGGGAGATTTTATCAACAAAGTAGTTCAATGCTAAATCTGCCGATTTGCCGATTTGATAAGCATACAGGTGGTTATTCAGGGGAGTGCATATAATGCTACCATCCTGATGTGTCCGTTCAGTATCCTCTTAAGTCCTTCCAAAAAGAAGGATTGAGGCTGATTGGTACCGACTTAGGGTGTGGGTCTCTCCGACCCACTTAAGGTATATATACCACCAACCACCTGGGTGATTGGCAGATTTAACTTTGAACAACTTTGTTGAGGAAATCTCCCAATCCCCTGACAGCAAAGAGATTACGGTTGCTGTATTTCCTGATAATGAAAGAGCATTCGATAATTTACTACCTAAATCCACGCCAGACTAGCTCTATACAATTTTTTGAGAATAGGTAACCAATCAGGATCTTTCTTCCCTTCATTCATCAAATATTCTTCAAAATCTATCCAGTCTCACGTTTCTCTTTCACCTGGCTCGTAATACCCATTCATAACTCTTATATTATTTCTCTCATTTCCGACAATTATACCTATCACATTCATGCTTCTGGCATTCTCAAGGGCGAGTCTATCACAGTTGATTGATTTTACACGTATTTTCTATATATGTCATTGCAACATTTTTTCTCCATAGAAAAAACAATAGATCATCTGAATCGGAGCTTATGCTGGAGAAATGCATTCAATTAGAGCCACGCTTCACACCTGCCTACATAGAACTTGTCAAACTTCGAGGACCCAGTGACCGCAGCGTTTACCAATTGCTCAAGAAAGTCGTGGAGATCAATCCAACAGATCCATATTACAGTACCAATTTCGGACATTGGTTGGTGAAAGAAGGTATGTCTACCCTACCCAGAACAATGTTGAAATCATTATTGAAGAGCCATGCTTCAGTTCGTTCAATGCGGAATTCTCATTTCAGCTCTTGATTTTCGAAAAGCCTTGCTTCAGTTTGTTTAATACAGAAATCTCATTTCAGCACTACGCTGCCTTTTATTGAAGACACATCATTAACATTCTGTTAATTACTGTCTTCTTACCCAAAATTATTTTTTATGAGTCCTGAATCAAATGTTGTTCCATGAAAGTTATTTTCACTAATACAGATGAAGCGGTATCCTAATAAATTCAAGAATGGAATGAAAGCAAAGTCATAGAATGTGTTCTTCAGTTCAACATTTAGAGTTCATCTATGATCTGGTAAGGTAAGATTTGTCAACGTTAAACTCATGGTCAATAGTACATGAAAATATATGTACCACTTGGTGATCGAAACACGTGTTGAGGTGTCAAAAATAACGATTTGGTGTTGGGAAAAAACTCCAGTAATATTCATTTCATACCATATATTCATTTCATACCATTATAACTTTCCACTTCAGAAAGTTAAAGGTATTCTTTAAGTCGAAGGCCACTAGCAACACCCACTTGCATCTTGGCTGTTTAGTCGCCTTCAGTACCTGCGTGACAGTATCCGTTGCAGAAAGACCCTTTCTGAAACCGTACTGCGCAGCCGATAGTAGTTCATTTTGTTCTATGGCTGCTTCTAGTCTTCCTTTGAGTAGAATCACATAGAGTTTACTTACAGTATTCAGTAGGCATATGGGTCTTCATGTCTTGTTTTGATCCTCTGTTATACCCTTTGGAATCAGGACTAGTTTGGACGTACTCCAAACCTCCGGAAATGTTTGGGTTATGAGCAATAGATTAACCATTTCCAGGAGCCAAAGTGGTTCTAGTTCCCTTACCGTCTTGATCACCTCTGGTGGAATCCTGTCTATAGGCTACTATTGTCATAGACTTCTGTTAATGCATCAAGATCATTTTGCACAGTGCTGGATTTCTTTGATGGTTCCATAGATCTTGAGATCCTCCGCATATAGTGAGAAGTTGGAATGTTCAAATACTCAAACAATATTGTTGATATAAATTATAGAGAATAATAGTCTCAAATGACTCCCCTGTGGTACACTTGATGTAACCATATAAAGTTCTGAATGTTAACCGGTACCATCCACAAATTCATACCTTTCTGTAATATATGACAATTTTCACCCTAGAAGATGCCTATCTCTGCCGATCTCCGCAAGTCTTTCAATGATCAAATTATGACTTATTTCCACTTGCATCTGATCATTGATACTCTATATCAAATAATCTGTGAACATTATCAAATTAGTATCAATGGATCTATAGTGGAAAACCATATTGTTGTTTTATTATCTCATTTTGTGTATGGCCTAAAATAATTCCATTGATGAATTTTTCAAACAATTTTGCTAATAGGTCTGTAATTTTCAATAATACGCTAATCACCACTTTCGAGAAGTGGCATGACGATGAAAGATTTCCACTTACCAGAAAATATTCCCGTCCGTAGGAAACAATTATAAATATGAAAAAAGGGTAATATCAAGTTATCTTTAAATTTTTTTCATAAATAGCCCTGGTATGTCGTCCGGACCAGAATACTTGCGTATATTCATACTAGCAATTGCTCCTGAAATCCGTTGTTCAGAAAATTTTACTAGTCCAGTCATTTGGTAGTTTTACCTGGAAAGTTTTCCGGGAGTTTTGAAAATTGATCAAGTTATAGATTTGTGTATGCTCTTTTCGTATTTCAACTTTGCCATCACGTAAAGAGTGCACATGTGGTATCACAGCCACTGAAGGCATGCAAAAATAAAATATGATATGCAGCTGTTTTATCTATGATATTTTCAGTGGAATATATTTGCTGGGGAATTTTTCCTTTTTCTGGTTTGAGAAAGTACACGTTCGATCTCGTACATAGAGCTATGAAAAGAATCAGAAGATCTATATCTTTGCCGACCACTATTACAGTATCTTCAAATTTTGTTTTCAACATTCTAATGAGGCGGTTCTTGTTCGCATCATTTCCCAGGAATTTATCTTGTGACACAGTTGGAATCATTGTCTCGTCGAAAACTACTGAAGCAGCTATTCTTGATCCTCGGGATCGTTCTGCGTATTTCGTACTACGGGTTGCTAAATATTCAGGATATCCGTCGAATACGATTATGGCATTGGATTTATATTTTGATCGAACGTACGTGATGTAATTACGTATAAATGATGTATAGATGAAAATGGTTCACCGCGATGCCAAATGACTCGGTGTAATAAGTGCCCTCCATCGATGACGTACATTGTATCACCAAAATTTATGTCTCCAGAATGTTGCTTGAAAGCCTTATATATCGAAGATTTAACGCATTTACGCATGCCTTCGCCATTGAAAAGTGATAATGGAAATGGAGCAAGTTCGTACGCAAGAAAGTTTTCAAGTTCCTCTTCAACATTCGTTGGAAAATTGATAATGGATTAATCGGAACAATTTCACCTTCTATTGGGATGCCTGCAGTCATAACACCAGGTGATTTTATTGTCATTCCGCTTGAATTTCACCGTATAAAAATCGCTGCCAATGATTTTAGAAATGCCAGTGCAACCAATTTCTCGAGCCATGTAACAATTAATGTTTTCATCTCCAACAACTCCAGTGCTTATTGACATAATATCCTTTATTTCTGGAAAAGGTGAATGGTTGGCAACCAATCCATCAGCTTTTTTACATCGTCATCGTGAACGGCTTACTCGTGAACTTCTCATTTCGACGTGCTGCTCGGAACCAGAAAAAGTAACATTGCACAAGTTTTCTACTTCGTCGTAAATATTGTGCAAGAATACCATTCCTGAAGTCCATTTGGAAAGCACGCTTTCGTTGACTCCTCGTCCATGACTAAGACCACCAAGGCATTTCATCGTTCTCATCAGCGATTGCTCAATTGTCATATCAGACCATGTGCCACACCAAAATTTGTCAGAACGTCTAATTGTAAAATATCCTTTAGTTGTGGAAAGTTCGTATTCTTCAGCTGACATTCGTTTCTTTAAATCCGACATGTCCTGCAAATATAAATGGCAAGATCTTGCATATAAGAAGTGGCCACTAGCATGAAAATAAGGAATCATTTTCTAAATAGTGTCAAGATGTAAATTCCAATTGACCATTCTTTCTGCTTCAATGAATTGTTCAACATGTGTAACCATCCGGAAATACTGGACCCATAATTTTGCTGTACGGCCACGTTGTTCAAATGTAATCAATTGATTCTGAAATTTCTCTGCAAGTTCTTGACAGCGTTCTTCTTGGTCCGCCTCGAGTATCACTGACCTATCGAAATTGTATAAAATTCTTTCTAATTCTGCATTGAGATCGGGTGTAATATCTATTGATTGTAGAACAATTTTGGCAATTGAAAGATGTGTCAATATATGTGCTCTTACCGCACGTGAATACGCATGTCCTTTCATAATTTTTGTAATTGAATTAGTTGCGTAAATAGTGTTAAAAAGCTCTTTTAATCCACTTCCAGTCATTATGTATCCAATTGATCCCAAGAATGACATTAATAAATGAAATCCACCGAGTCTTACGACAGTATTACTGAATTTGGAGTCCACATCGTACGAGGAAATAATGTCCTGCGCTTTGAAATACAAAGGCTGGTCAAATGTAACAAAACAAGTATGCTGATGTAATGATTCACATTTTTCAGACGCAGATAAGAGAGCAGTCAAAATTGTATCGTAATCATTCGGTGGAGCATTAATGAAGGGCAAGCATCCTACAAATGATTTTTGGAAATGGAGTTCCACTGTCACTTGTTCCATGAATCCGCTCCATCCAGGTATGTTAGGCAGGTCGGCCCATTTTCCATAGAGCCACAATAAATCTGAAACAGACGGCTTTACTATTTCCGAAACCTCACGAATGCTACCGAGGTTTTGAATCTTAATGGTTTTTGAGCCCGTATCGTTTTTTTTCACAAATGTTTTTAATGCAATGTTACCGAAATTACCAACGACTTTTGCAGATGGCATTTGCTTTATTCGTGGAATAATTTGATCAAGTGCGATAGCAGTTTTAGGTGTTACACAATGGATACCGCCCATGGCATGGAAATTATTATTACCATCTAATGCCTGCGTATTGAAATCAGCATTGTCAAAAACAAATTGAGAAAATGCGTTATCATCGATACTCAACGGTGCACGCATAATAGCTGAAACTTTGTTGCTTCGGTGTATGAAGAGCAAAATCTAAGAGGTACTGTGCATCGGCTGCGACCAAATCATTCACATGCTCAAGACGCTCAACAGTTGCTCGACCCCAATCATCATTACGATTTCTGACAAGATTTGAAATACTGTCTTTCATTGACAATTTCCTCACACTATACACTACTATACACTATGCACAGCCGCGTCTGTTTTTGTTTAGCTATAAATTCTGCTGTTATCTCTTCATCACATAAAAAACAATGATTTTTAAAAGAGAATACTGGGTGCGAGGATCGCAGTAGTGGCTGAGGTTTCGTGGCATCACTTCCTCTACGCAATGATGTAACGATTAACTTCTCATTATTGTATCGTTTTCGACACACATCATGAACCACTATCGATTTGAGTCCCGCCAAAAGTTTAACTTTATTATCATTTCTTTCAACACTTGACTTACGAAAAGTCTACAATCTTTTTTCTTTCACTTCAACTGTTTCATTTTCTAAGAGTGAATTGTCACAAATAAAACAATTTTCTGTGTTAGAAGCCATAGCTCTAAGAACACAAACAACACTGTACGACGATGAACGTATACTGATGACTCAGCCTCAACTAAATATTTCTCGTAATATAGCTTCTACCGACAGATGTTTCGTTGAAGGTCGAGAGTATGGAGACTATATACACTGTGTATAGTCTCCATAGTCTAGAGAAAGGGACCCAATACAAAGGCGACATATTACCCTTAT